CCGCGGGTGCCACTGTCCGAGAGGCCTCAGCCTCTTCCTAACAGCTTTTCTCGAGGAATCAGTAACCACCGCTCGTCGTCTCTTACCGTGTCCGCGCCAGGCTGGTTCCTCTCCTCCTCGGTGCCACCCGAGCGTCTTCCTCCAGGATGCAGAGCTCCAGCCCCCCGCCTTCCTCCCGCCCGCCAGTCTCTGCTCCGTCAGGGCCCTCTCGTCCCTCTGGTTCCCTTCCTACCTCTTGCTGCCCCACGGAAACAGCACCTGCCGCCGTGGGCACTTTCTAATCGCACTCCCCTCATCCCGTGTTTCCAGGATCGGCCAACCGCGGCCCCCACAGTAGTGACCGCGGCATCTGTAGGGCTCCGGCCGTAAGAGTGCAGACACAAAAGAAAATCAAATCACATCCCTGGCTGGAGGGCAGAAAGTGAAGGGAGGCCGTTCTCGGGTGCAACCCATTTAAATAAAGGTGCTTCTAACCGTGTCCTTCGTATTAATCAGCTGTGCGTCGTTTCCACAGCCTTAACTGTGCGTCGCCAGAACAAGCACCGGGCGAGCTGCTGATGTGAGAGGTTTCCTCGGGTCTAATTAAACCCCTGCTGCGGGGAGGTCCTGGCGTTGAATGAAGACGCTTGGCAGCTGGCGCTCTGTGCTGAGCACAGCTGGCGACTCCGAGTGCTGCGAGTCTGACAGTTAATTCCACAGTCCAAGTCCAGATTAAACCCTCTTTGTAACTGCAAGTTCAGCCTTGAAACAAGATAATGGTAAGATTCTGTTTTAACATGACGGATGCCAAAATGACTCTGCTAAATGTAAAGTGATTTCCATGGAAACTGATGGTCACTGTGGGACAGAAAGGCGTTGGGCCTGTAGTCAGTTTGCTGTGATCGTTTTTACATAAAGTGAGAAAACTTCCTGGTGTCTCCCAGCATGTCAGCGTTAAGCACCAGAAGTCCTGGCGCTGGGAGAAAGCTAACTTTTTTTAGCTCAGTGTTTCTCTAACTTTTGACCATGAAAGTGTTTTTCTTCTTAGAAACATGTAACATTTCACGCTGTGTCGCAAGAGCGTGGTCTGGGCGAGGCAATGCCCGTTCTACTCCCCAGGCCCTTCCTCCTGACAAACCAACCTGAAGCCCAGGGTTAGAGGGATGCACCTGCAGAGCCTGCTCCACATCCCCCCCGACTCCCAGGGCCAGATTTATCCAATAAAAATACAGAGTTCTCAGTTAAAATTGAACTTCAGATAAAAGGCTTTTTTTCTTTTTTTAGTATGGGCATGTTCCATGCAGTGTTTGGGTCATACTTATACCAAAAAAATTATTTTATCTGATTTCTGAAATTTAATTTTAACTAGACATGTTGTATTTTGTCTAATGACCATGCCCCTGACCCCTCCCCAGGGAGGAGAGACTCCTGGTCCCCTGGCTCACATTTCCAGACACATGACGGGACTTTGGGACCAGGAAGGGGCACAGGACTGACACCCCAACTGGACCAACCTGCCTCTTTATTGGTTTCTGGGCACATCTACTTCTTTAGCTCTGGTCTCTGCCAGGGACTCCCCATGCCCCCTCCCTCCCTGCTCTGTGCCCGGAGGCCTGCTGTCTGACCTGCGCCACGGGCTCCTGGTCCTCTGGCTCTTGGTTGAGTCTGGCCCCTGGCAGTGGCCAGCAGAAGGTGGAAGGACCGGAGGAGAGACAGGCCCCCCAGCTTCTGCCTGCAAGCCCTGGGTAGACTGCAGGCTCCCTCCCACTGAAGGACAAGTTCTTGGGGTGCAGTGGGGAAGTCTCTCCAGGCTCGGTTCCTACCAGATCCCACTGCCTCCTCCCTCCTTGCCCTTAAAGACACTGGGGGCCTTTTGGAAGCGGCCCACCGGTCTCGAGTATTCCCCAGCCCTCCTGACGTCCCCTGACTCTGCCCCCAATGTTGTAAAAGTTCCCTTACTGGCCCCTTTGGAGTGTGTACTGGTTCCCAGCCAGGACCCCAATCAGCACAGGGCAAGACTGGGGTTTAGGGGAAACAGAGGTTCCCTGCCTGAACCTAATCCTGAACCTCAAACCCAGACCTAGGTTCCCAGCCTCTCTCTGGGGGTTTGGCCCAACATTCAAGTTTCTCGTTTGCTGTGGACAGACGTGCTCAGCAGCTCCCTACACGCTGGCCCTAAGCCCGTGTTGATAATATTTCACTGGCTGTGGCCGGTTTGGGGTTGGCACCCGAGTGCCAGCAGCACTCATCTCTCCGCACTTTACAGAAGGAGAAAGAACAGCCGCAGAGATTTGCAGGCAGAGCCCAGTGCCCCAGGAAGTCGTCGCCGTGTCTCTTGCCTGGATCTGAGATCTGACCAGTGTTGGTTCCCAGAAATCAGAAAACCCTAGAATTTGGCTGGCAAACCGGATGTTCTCAGAATCCTCGTGGCTACTCACAGTAACAAGTTAAATTTTTAAAAAACAAGTAAATATTTTTTAAAAGAAACCACGGAACCCACCCATGACCCATCTCTTGCTCTTTTCCAGCTACTTTTAACGTTTAAGTCATCACATCGCCCTCACGGCACCCTGGAGTTTGCAGGGCTGAGTCACATCCTTAGTTACGGGAATGACGGGACAGTGTGCTCAGCATTTACTCTGGTTTTGAGATGTGAGCAGGCGATCGAGAGGCCGGGGCTAAGCTGCTTCGCACGTAATTTCACCCTGTCCTGCAGCCTCTTTACCTTTCCTGTCAGGACCCAGACCCGGGACTTTCACCTTTGGTCAAATGTTAAAGCAGCTTACGGGGGATTCGGCTCCCATAACATTAAACCTTGAGATCTATTGAAACCTTCATTTTATAAACGAGGGAACTGAGGCAGGACTCTCGGGGACCTCACGGACTCCTCACCACATGGACGTTAACGTCCGTTCTTCCCCTTGGCATCTGCCAAAACTCAGGGCTGACTCGCCCAGGGCACACCCGCCGCAGAGACACAGGCCGGACAATTCTCCGGCGCTGGGGCGCTGGCCCAGCATCACAGACGGTTAGCCACAGCCCTGGGCTCTGCTCGCCAGGTGTCAGCCGTACCCGCTCATCCTGGTCTTGGTGACAACAGCAGCAAAAAGGTCTCTACTTCGCCAACGTCCCTGGGGATGAGGTCACCCCAGGTGATGACGACGGGCCTGTCCCAGCCAACCTGCTGTTTCTATCACCTCTGCTCCGCTACGTTTTCTGAGTAAAAACCTTAAGACTCTCACACATCATATTGGTACCAGAGCTGAGTTGTTTATTTAGAAACGAGTCTTCCCGCCCTGGCCTGTGTGGCTCAGTAGAGCACCAGCCTGTGCATGGAAAGGTTGCAGGTTCGATCCCCAGCCCTGGTCGGGGTGTGTGCGGGAGGCGACCCATCGATGTGTCTCTTTCTCTCCCCCTCCCTTCCACTCTCTAATAATCAATGAAAAAAATACCCTGAGGTGACAATAAGGAAAAAAAGGAGTCGCGGTCTTTCCAAGGAAAGGGATTCCCGGTCTTTGGCACACGCAGCCACAGTGAGAACACGTCCTGACGAGGGTTAGCGAGCGTGGCTTTTAGCACAAGGTCGGTTAAAAAAGGCACAAGTGCAGACGGACAGTTTTGATCACGTTTAATGAAAAAGTTGCGTGAATAGAAATGGACGTAACACAGGGAGTCCACTGGGGGCAGATGGTGGTCACGTAGCACAGGGAACTCACGTCGACCCTGAACTTACTCGTGATGTCCGCAGTTATTACTGACCCAAAACACCACCTCAAATCCAAAACAGGGCAACAGTCATCATCTCGCTGGTATTTTCACAGGAACTCACCAAAGCAATGTCTAAACCATCCCTGCCATCTCCTGGGGCCCCCGAACACCCACGAGGGCGGCAGATATTCCC